AGGGTATTTTATGGATAGTAAAACTGTTAGCTTTCAAACAACATAAAAAACACTAAAAGATTGCTTTAATGTCGTCTTCCTATTCCACAGGTTTCACTGTAGATTCTGTTACCTTTCTCTGAACCGATGCATCAGATTTGAAAACCAGGAGCATTGTGGAGTCTGTGGTTATCAGGGGATGTGGTAGTTTAGAACCACAAAACCTCAATATAGAATATGCATTTATACATATAAAGTATTAATCTCTGTTTGTCTGTTTGTCTCTTTGTTTGCTTGTTTGTATGTCCGATCATTACTCATGAACCGATTTGCCTCGAATTTTGATTGAAGAACTCAGGTTTTCTTAATCAGGTTATATAATAAATTTATTCCATAAACCTCTTATTTATGTCGAAAAAGGCTTGGCTGCTTATGAATTTTTTTTGAGAAAAGTCTTTAAGTTGTAATTAAATGTTATGTTTTAGTTAAGAATTTCGACCGAAAACCCGCTATTTCATTGAAAACTCTTAGAATTGGGTTTTTCAACAGGCTGTATACTCTGACTAAATCAAGGATTTGGGCTACTACTGCCTGGGCCCCTAAATCTTGGCTTTTAAAATCTATTTTTATAATTAGATGATCCTGAAACCCCTGTACTTTCTTGTACTTTTGCTATCAAATATATGTTTTTCTTCCGAAATAGCTCCTTGTAACAAAGACGACATCTAAATATATTGCGGGATTACAGGATCCATTCAAGGATAAATAAATGAGCGGGAAAATTGATAAATTGAAATCATTATAAATCAATACAAGCTACAATATGCAATGTTTGTAAATGAAAAGAGTATCAGAATATATTCATTTTATCCATTCTCACCATGAAACACAAGACAAATGCATTTTAGAGGAGTATTGTGACAAAAACCAGTTAACCACTATAAACCCATAAAATACCCTACCGTGCATCACGTGAAATGTTGAATTTTGATCGGACCCCTCCCCCCTCCCCATCCTCAGAAAGGGCTGATAAAAGATATTTATATTAGATATTGAGCTGGGCGCAAAAAGAATTAGAAAGGGGGATATATGGGGGATTAAAGCCCCCCACCCACAGCAACCAATGAAAAAAAAAACTTTTTCAAGAGTGGGGAAGGGGTGAGCTG